AGTCAAGGTCATTTTAATGGGATTGAGCTCCATAGTGCTGAGAGGTTTAAGGGCCAAAATAAAGCCGATTAACTCGATGATTGAGTGGATACGACCACCCTCGAAGAGACAACACTGAAAACACGACAATACCTTCACCCAACACGTCCTTCTTATTCACAGATCAGGAGTGTGGACAACTATGAAACCAAACTGCAGAAAATCGAGTTTATCTGACAGATCAATACTATTAATATCAGACTCAAAGATGTTTTTGGCATCAGTGAAGTTTATTATTTAAACAACAACCAATTAAACCCCCGTCTGTTTTAACCCCAATAATGTAATCCTGAGTTTTTACTTTTAAATCTTTTCATCTGAAAATAACAAACATGAGTATTAGAGCTCTACTGATCTGATAATATTACAGAGAAGGTTCGCTGACAGCTGATGTTATTTTCTATTTATTAGACAAACATTATAATTATGATAATCTGATTTAAAGAGTTACTTTGGTCAAAAAACATGTTTCAGGCGGATTTTTAAGAGAATCAGGAAACAAATATATTTATCCACGCTGTCGATTTCAGAACATGACTGATAATCTTCAGTAATATTAAACTGCTTTATACGACACTACAGCAGTTACTTATATCCAATCAGAGACAGTTATCGTTTTCAATTTGGTTTGTTGATTCAGGATGAGACGTTAACCTGGACGCGGCCGCCTGCTGTGTCTGCAGACATTATTGATTGATATTAAAACACTAATAATCAGCCTGATTAATCAGTCAGTCGGTTAGAGTTCAGGATATTATTGGTATTATAACAGTTAATGAAGTTGAGTAATGGTGTTGGATTTTTCATGCTGTCATTCTGAATTGGAAAATTATCTCATCTCTTAAAAAGACGATGTCGGTGTTGATCTTGAGGCCAATGTGATTTTAATTATTCCAGAAAATCATAAACTGGTTTCATTATTTGACATTAACTGGTCTGTCTTCACTTCTTAGCACTGGAATCAAATCCAGTCTAGTTTCTGGGATCCATGTGTGAAAGTAAAATGTGGGGATGGTCTGGACTCCCGACCTGACGTCACATTTTAACCACGCCACCATCATCATCACGCCACCATCATCATCATCATCATCAACAAAAACTCCATCAGACTGAAAACTTCACTGACGTCCATCTGTGTGGAACAAGAATCAGACGTGAGTCGGTGCTGCTGATGATTCAAAGAGGAGTTCATTCAGGTGTTCTTACCGTTCCCAGGATGTAGTCACAGCCCTTTAGAAGGAGCCGGGTCCACCCAGAGGAAGTGGACCTGCCAGTCTGCACATAAAGTAGCAGAGCAGGACCACCAAGACCACCAGCAAGACTCCAGTCAGAGCGGTGGTCAGAATTACATTAGATCCAACTTCTGTCATGGTTTCACAGAAAAATCCAGCTGGTTTAGAAAAGAAGTGAATCAGCTCCTCTGAGTCACACCAACACCTGAATGTGTCGCTCCAGCAGGTAGAGAGCAGCTCCAAATCGAGGATTAGGGTTTTAATTCTGCAGAGGAGAGCCGGGCTGATAGATCGAGGCTTCAGAAGACTCCAACAAAGCTTCATGTTTACTGTCTCTGTCTGGTTTTTAAGACGAGGAGGGGGTCGTGTTCTCTGCTGTCTCACTTCACTCTGAGTAACAAAGACTCTGAATTCAGTTTCCAGGTTTCCAGATCGGCAGCTTGTTCGTTTTTTCACCTGAATCTCACACTGCAGGATCTTTCCCTGCTGTTTGTTGCTTCATGTGAGTTTATAGTGAAATAAAAGATGATAAAACTGCAACATTGATGATTGAAACTATGAAGTTTTCATTTCTTCATGTTCAGTGTCTCCTGTTACGAGCTGGAATCTGCTGCTTTTCTCTGTCAGTTTGACGCTGAATGTTGACTGAGTTCAGGGATCTTAAGAAGTCTGAATGAAGAATATGAGGCGAGTCTGAAACTCATCAATCAGTAACTAAAGTAACAGCCTCAGTCCTGGGGGGGGAGGATCTAAAACTTCATTTTCTCGATCTTTAAAAAACCTCCAATTCACGATAAATCGACTGAATTTCATTTTACCAACATACCAACACCAGGGGGGGTCCTGGAAACCATTAAAAGCTGTTATAAACCCCCCACTCTAAAATCTTAATGTGAAGTATTTCAAGTTAAAATCTGTATTTTATAACTCAGTAATAAATAAGAATGAGGAGCAACAGAAACGACAGACTATCCTGTAAAATAACAGACTGAGAGCAACAGATGAGCAAAAACTCCTGCGAGGATCTCTGAGCGTTTAAGAGCAAAGATAAGCTCATTATTATCATCATTATAACGTCGTTATTATTATAAAGTCATTAATATAAAGTCATTACTCTGAGAGGACTGAGGACGACCTGCTGTCACCGAAGATTTCAGACTCCCGCAGACAGACCCGTTTCTCCACCAGCAGCAGCAGCAGCAGTTCTGAGTATATTTCTGTAAAATCGAGCCTGAAACAGACAAACTTTGTTCAGTTTTACTCACTAAAATCAGTTTCTCCTCCTCGGCTCTCAGATCTTCATCCAAACGTGTCCGCAGACCCTCCAGACCTTCTCCGTCCTCCTTCTCTGAGACCACACTTGTTCTGCTCTGAGAATAGCGGTCTGTTTCCACGAGGAGAGACAACAAACAAAAAGCCTTAGAATTAACCCAGAGAGGAAATGGACCGAGGGCGCCCCCTGACGGACGACCCGTGTATTACATACATGACAGGGCAACAAAATTAAAAACTTCAATTATTTATTTAGAAATTAAAACAACTCAATAAATGAAAACATTAAACTAGTGGTTAAAGAGTCAAAGTACATGTTTAAAAATGTGAGTAAAAGTACTGAGAATATTATATCTTATCATATATTATAAATATTAGATCATTTACATGGATTATAAGATGGAACTCTGTGTGTCTGTTAAAAGTGTTTTGATTTAATGAAATTTTGAACTGAACTTTATTTTTTTTATTAACTTTGTGAGGATGGAAACATAATAGATCGATTATTTATTACCTCGGATATTTAACAGTTAGGGTGTGTTTTTCTGAGACACATGGACAACACGACCCCCAATATTGGCCCCCATTCACTCAACAATATTCCAATTAAAAGTTAATAATGTGCTTTTTTACTTTACTTTTATCACCTTATTTCAATTCATTTATTATAGATAAAACATGCTTTAATTTGTAGAATAAGAATTGAATTCTCTCTTTATTCCACATTCACTCTTTTCTGCTCAAAAAAACTTTTTATTTGGTTTTAAGAAAAAGAGAAAAACTGAGGAAAGAAAAAAAGAAATTCACTCATTTAAAAACATGTTAACAGAAAAAGTAAAAACAGAGTTTTTACTTTTTCTTTGAAATTTTCGTATAAACTATCAAACTGTTGAGAAAAATATAATTCACACATTATATGGTTAGATGACTTCTTCAAAGTTTAATTTACTGTCTCAGTGACTTTTATGTCAATATCTTTCACAGCAAAAAGAACGACAAGAAAGTTAAACAATGTCAAAAACTCGACCGTTAACACCTTAAAAATGTACGAACAAAACTAGAAATAAAAAAAGAAAGTACCATGTTAAAACACAAAGTCAGAGAGAGGCGTGTAAAGCTGACATAAACAATGATATACTGTATAAACACATTATATTACCATTATCCATAAAAAAGAGAGTTTTATTGTCTGATGTTCTGATTGGTCTTTTTTTTTTAATCACAAATGGTTAAAAGAAATTACATTAAAAAGAACAACATTTCCATCTACAGCAGAATTAATAAAACAAACATGAAAGTTAAAGAAAACAAACATGAAAGTTTAATAAAACAAACATGAAAGTTTTTAATAAAACAAACATGAAAGTTTTTAATAAAACAAACATGAAAGTTTTTAATAAAACAAACATTAAAAAGTCATATTTCTACAGCAGAGGTTTGGGGAATACTGTAGTTCCTAGTCGGCTATAAAACTGATAATTTTAAGTCTTAACTTTACAAAATTAAAGTGTTTTAGTGAACTTTGGCCCAGATTTCAGGATCCTGCTATTCTTGGAGTCTCCTCTAGATGTCCCTGAATGACTTTTATCAGTTCACCACAGTTTTAAAGACGTCTCTGCTGAATCAACAGGATGGTATGATCAATAAATCTCAGGTATGATCAATAAATCATAAATCACAGATTTCTTAATTTTCTTTCTCTTGTTGCACAAACTTTAACAGATCAGATAGATATTCACGGCTGGATCCTCTTTAAGACCAAATTTATTATATAAAGTTTGTTTTTTAAGATAAAGTCATTAAATTAGTGAGGAGTTCAGAGAGCTTTGGTTATTCTGTGTAATTATAATCATATACATAATTATCTCCAGTCCTTCAACTATAACATATGAAACATGTATTTAACACTCATGTTTATATATTATCTTATTTTTTAACTCCTACATTTCTTCATCCTGTAATTTCTCTCTTTTTATATTGATATGCTGCTGAAATTTGGGACGAATTAAAGGAATATTTCATCTTTTTATTATCAAAGTGTCTACAGTTTGAAGAAACAAAGACATTAGAGAAATTAAAGGATGAATAAAGTTAGCTAACTAGCGTTAAGTAAACATCCGGGTACTTTGCGTTCCCGCCTCCTTCTGCTGTTTGTGTCACGTGACTTTATTTTACCTGAGAGGTGGGTTCACCTGTAAGTGTGACTTTATGTATTTGTATCTGTACGTCTGTATTTGACACATAAGAACAGACAAAAAAGGTGCAAAGATGAAGTTTATTAAAAACACATGAAAATATTCAGTAAATATTCATTAAATATTCAATAAATATTCCTTAAATATTCCTTTTACTCTTGTGTATTTCTGTGTTACCAGAGCAGCTACTTTGATTTATGAAAATGTATTTCTATTATCATTATCACATATATCTGCTTTATAACTGTCAAACTGTTTTAATGTTTTATTTCCATCATCTGTGAGTCGTTATTCTCTGCACTGACACTAACTCTAATATTGGGTTCATGTCTCTGAGAGTTAAAGCAGAAAGAGCTGAAATCTCCTCAGTCTTATTGTTGGACAGTTTTACAGACAAACGGGTCATTTATCAGCTAAAGTCAAACTCAGTCAGTGAAATTCACTCATTCACTCTCTGTTGTCCATAAAGGGACATGGAGGAGGACAGGATCCGGTAAACATGACACAGCCCGTTTTTTTCCAGGTTTCCGGGGTAGAGTCGTTTTCACAGAGATGTGAACACAGAGGAGCGGAGTCTCTGAGGAGGAACCAGCCGAGGATCACTCACTGTCCCCGGTCAGAAAACACACGGAGAGACGGTGACAGAGGAGCACCATCAGAGGACACGGTAAGACAACTTTCACCTGATTCCAGCTGATTTGAGTGAAACTAACAAACATTAAAGTCAAACTAGTTTGTGTTTGTTCGTGTTGACACACGTGTGCAGACAGGCTGGTCGTTCCGTTTGTGTTTGTCGCGAAATCAAGAGTTTCGTAGCGAAACTTCCTGAAAAATGACATTAATTTTTCTCCTTTTCTTCTGTAAGTGAGAAGATGTGAGTTCGTCTGTAAACTTTGTTCAGTGACCTGCTGGTTCAGGGTTTTAATCTTCTTTCTTTGACATGAGTTCAGACTTTGCTGTTGAACACAGAAGATATCAAACATTTTGGCAGGTTGTCTCTCCAATTTCAACATCTTTTCTTTCTTTCACAACCATGTTTTCTACTTCCACTTCACTTCACAGGAACTCTTACAAAACCAGGTTTCCTCTATTCTTAGGAAACTCAGAGTCTTTCAATGATGTGAAGTTTTCTGTATAACAGTAAAAGTGACCAAAACCACAGTGACGCCTAAATGACTGTGTGCAGCTACAATACGGCTCTGAGTCTGTTCTCCTGGATTTAATGGTAACGGTGGTTTTAAATAGATATTTACTTTACTGCCTCAATGTTAGCTCAGTGTATTTACCACGCTAGGGCAGAAAGAAAACGAACCTTTGAACAAACACAACAGTCATCATTAAATATCAACAACTGAGATTCACTCTCTGTGGTTGGAAAACAGACCAGAAGACTCAATGAGAGATCAACTTCTGCAGCAGTGAAAATCTGAGAGGGAAACGTCTGAAAACTCCAGATATCGAAAAACGGAGATTTGGTCGGAAACAAAAACACTTAAACTTCTTAAAACCAGGATTTCCCAGACATGCGTCGCCTTAAAACCAGCAGAATAAGAATCATGAAGGTCCTTATTTCCCAGGCGGATGTTTTCTGTCTTCTTTGTTTGTATTTTTCATTTTAATTATAAATTTATTATCTGTCTCATGAAGCTAAAGTGACAAATTCTTGTGTTACAACTGCAACCAGTAAATAAGACGATCAGTTTAATTAGACATCTCAGAGAACGAGCTGATGCTCCTGTGATTGATGACTTTAATAATATGTGTGTGTGTGTGTGTGTGTGTGTGTGTGTGTGTGTCTGTGTGTGTGTTTACTCTGCAGTTATTCATTACCTAGGTGTGATGGTGAGTGTGCTGCGTGTTACCATAACAACAGCAGGAACAGGTAATCTCCAGATATCTGTCCACAAACAAGCTTCTGTTTTCTCCCGACCTCAGACTGAAGAAGTCAAACTCAGAGATTTCAGATATAATCTCATAATCTGTCGTAGTTTTTAGATAATTTAAGTTAGTTTAAACATTTAAGGTCAATAATCTAGATTATCAGAGTCGGTTAGTCCGCTCTGTTTCTGTGAACTGCTGCTCATGTTTAAGCAGACGGCGTGCACGGCTGTGGTGACACAAGACCCTTCTGGTTGATATTTGATCATTGCACACACGTCAGAGCACCTGAAACGTGCACAGAAGAATGACTTAGAGTCTGCTGGCAACCAGGAATCTGAAGAATTTCAGAGCTGCAACCCTGCAACTCTGCAACCCTGCAACCCTGCACATGCACGACTAAAAATAAACCCAGAGTGTTACGGTTCTGGTAAACGGCCCTCGGCTTAGTTTAACTGCTGCAGAGTGAAGCCGAAGCTGATTCTTTAAAAAAACAAAAGAGCTTCACTATCAGGGTGTTTTCTCCGTAGGAAACGTTTCTGTGTTGAGAAAAGAAAGAAGTTTCCAGAGTTTTCAGGGAACAGGAGCTGAAGTCTGTCTTATCTGTGGCCTTCAGGCAAAAACAAAAGAGACTGAACGTGAGAGATAACGCTCAGGAGGAGCTAACAGCTGCATATATGAACATGTCGAGTCATCCCCTCATTTGTTTGTTTGTTTGTTCATATGGAGGGGGGGGCATACAGTCCACACTCAGGCACATACAGTACATATCACAGGGTCAGGACCTTCAGTTCAGCTGAGTACGTGCTCGCTGTAAAGCCCCTAAAGTGCACAATAACCCGCCTGTTCAGAAACAGAAGAAATTTCTGTTACTTTAGTCGGACTCTGGAGCGGACAGAGACACGGCGCTGCTCACACTCAGCCGCTGCAAACCTTCTCTCTTTTAGTCAGATACGGCGGCATCAAAAGCCGTAATTTTGCATCCTGCAGGTCAGCAGCCGAGTTTCTGAAACTGTTGAAAGATTCGTTCAGATTTTTAGTTTTGCAAGAAAAGGGACCGAATGTCAGAATCTCATCTTGGCGTCAGTTTAGATAACAGGGAATGAATGTATTGAACATTTAAGATATTTGAAGTCTGCATACATGTCCAGGATTGATGGTACAGGATGTTGACAGACACCAGGAGGTCGACTTCAGCTCCTCTCTGTGTGTCTAAGGTGACTGAAACTTCGGTCTGTCGGCCTCGAAACACCTCGACAGAAACAAACTTCACAGAGACGACGGTCGTGTTTTCTGCCATGTGTGATCTCACACTTCAGTTTGTGTGAAATACTTTAATACGCTGAATTTCCGTCTCTGGATATTTGAAGGTTGAAGTTGAATGCACGGCACCTTTAGGAGGAAATCATGACAAATGTTGTGGTTGTTCAACCAAAAGTAGATTTTAGAGTTTGAGAAAAATTCCTTCCAAATAAAGAAAAAAACAGTGAAATCTGTAAAATCTGGAGCTGAGATTCATCATGAGAAGGACAGTTAGATCTCCTCGTGTCGGCTGAGACTGAATGTTGGTGAAAACCCGACAGTGTGTCTCCTCATATTCAGGTGACAATTTAATTTGTTTTTTTAATTCTGCAAAAAGGAAATTTATGGAAGTTTTTTCAGGTCACTTTTTACCGCCTAATAAACAAAGAACCATCTTCATGAAATCTGAATTAAGAAACGTCATTTTTCTTCTCGTCACACCGTTAACTATTTTATTTTTACTAATGAATTGACTTTTGTCTTAACCGTTTTAATACTAACATTGATAATAACATTTACAGTCTTTCCTCTGATGATTCGTTCGTTTAAGTCTCGTCGTTCTGACTGGATCATCTCTCCGTTTGCAGCTTTAGTTTAAGTCAAAGAGCTGCTGTCAGGGTCGTGGCTTTTTCTCGTTCGCTTTGTTGTCAAAAGAAGATACTGACTCAACAGACGTGTGTTTTCTGTCCCAGCTGAAGTTAAAACATGATAAAACGAAAGTGTGTGAGATAAACTCAGTCCAAAGAAACTGTTTGTTCTCGCTTCATCTCGTGGTCACCAAGAATAAGCGTGGTCATGTTTGATTTTGGTCGTGTGGCGTTTCAGGAATGTTTTTTTTTCCAACCTCGGCGTTTTAATTTGTGATTCACAAAACCTTCATGGCGTTAAAGGGGAAGTTAAAGGGGAAGTGAAAGGGGAAGTTAAAGGGGAAGTTGGGCTTTGTCGGACGAGCTGTTTGTGGCTGACAGAGAGGTAAAGATCAGGTTATCAGTAAAAGCAGAAGTTCGGTTTCATCACAATCGCAGCGCGGTCGTTACTCTTCAAACACAAACTTAGATTTTCGTTCGGAGTGGTTTCTTTAATTATTGTTCCTCTGTGGTCTGAAACCACATCTAAACCTTTCATCGCACATGGCGCTTTACTGAGCCGCCTTCCTTCAGACGCCGTTTACTGCCAGCCTACGTCACACACGCCTGTAAATCTCCTTCCTTCTATTTCGGCCCCTCAGCCTCATTCTTCATCACAGTTCCTCTTCCTTCTTCTCGGTCCGTTCTCGTTTTCTCCTCAGAAATGTCAGACAACAGTAAAACCAGCGCAGCGCCCAATCCCAAACACAAACACGCTGCAGTTATTCTTGGAGGAATGCCCCCCGTGCTCCAAATAATCGTCTGGTTTGCAGGATCAGTGACGAATTACTGACGCATGTTTGTGGTTTTACAGCCTGACTCGAGGGGCCGCGGCCTCGCCTCAGTTCCAGGAACCGTGGGATTCTGACCCCTCACAGTGTCAGCTCTTCACTGGGAAGACATCTTCATGCGCTGTGGGAAACAATGGGAAATTTGCTGCTGAGTGTCCACAGCTGACCTTGACCACAAACCGCCTTACTTTGTACTTTCTAATGGCTCCCAGCGGCCGCATATATCGTGACTTCAAGAGCTTCAGGACATCAACAGGAACTCTATAGGTTTCAGGTTTTACAGATGTCCTTCAGCACAGCGTGAAATCTGCGCTTATTTATTTCATACTAAAGTGAGAACAACTGAAATTTTAGATGTTTTATGAGTTTATTGTTTTCTGACCAAAGAAGCTAAAGTGGAAATCCTGACTCACTGCGCCGCGTTCAAAACTTCAGGCTGAGATTTGTCACCGTATTTTATTAACAGGAAAGGAAAAGCAGCGCCGTGTCGCCGTGTTCAGATCGAACCTTCGGATCAGTGCGACATTCAATGTGAGAGACGGCAGACGTTCATAAACAGAGAAAACAGTCAACTGAGGAATTTCTGTGTGAGACGACGACGACAACAACAACAACGACAACAACGACTACAACGACGACAACGTCAACGATTACGACGACAACAACAACGACAACAATGACTACAACAACGACGACGTCAACGACAAGAACGACAACAACAGGAACAACGACAACAACGACAACCACTACCACGATGACGAAAACAACAAAACAACAACAACGACAACAACAAAACAACAGCGACGACGTCAACGATCATGACAACAACAGGAACAACGACAACAACGACGACGTCAACGATTACGATGACGACGACAACAACGACTACAACAACAACGACGTCAACGATCACGACGACAACAACAACAACGACGACGTCGTCAACGATCACAACAACAACAACAACAACGACGTCAAGGACAAGAACAGGAACAACAACAGGAACAACGACAACAACGACGACCACTACCACGATGACGACAACAACAATGACAACAACAAAACAACAACGACGACAACAACAACGATGACAACAACGACAACAACAACAACGACAACAACAACGACAACAACAACGACGACGACAAGAACGACAACAACAGGAACAACAACAGGAACAACAACGACCACTACCACGATGACGACAACAACAATGACAACAACAAAACAACAAACAACGACGACAACAACAAAACAACAACAGGAACAACAACGACAACAACAATGACCACTACCACGATGACGACAACAACAATGACAACAACAAAACAACAACGACGACAACAACAAAACAACAACAGGAACAACAACGACGACGACAACGACAACAACGACTACAACAACGACGACGTCAACAATTGCGACGACAACAACAACGACAACAACAACGATGACGTCAACGATCACGACGACGACAAGAACGACAACAACAGGAACAACGACGACCACTACCACGATGACGAAAACAACAAAACAACAACAACAGGAACAACAACAACAACAAAACAACAACAGGAACAACGACAACAACAACAACAAAACAACAACAATGACAACAACAAAACAACAACAGGAACAACGACAACATCAACAACAACGACAACAACACGGGCCAGTAAACCTGAATCTGATACTCAGACCTAATTGAAGAACCGTCAGATTTAAAGACTAAAATGAAAATCTACAAAAAACGTCTTTGGTGAAATTTACATGAAAAATAATTTTTAGAAGTCAGAGACGCGCTCTCGAGAAAACGGGGATAAAGTTGAATAATGTCTCTGATTGGTTAATAAGAATAACTTATTAATCATGTAAATTAAACCTGCATGTAACGATGATGTTAACCTTTAAAAAGGACCAAAGGCTGGTGCTCACTTTACTGAGTTTCAGTTTAACAAGCTTCTTAGTCGTCAGTGAAATTTGATGAATAATAAATAAATTCTTGAAAACATTTCTACTCCGTAAACGAGCGTTTGTTTTCTGTGAAGGACTCAGACAGGATGGTAGATAAGAATACAGTATGTTCAAACAGGATTCAGTTTCATACATGTACGATAGATAACCACCTAACAACAACAACAACCACCAAACATTTTCACATCGATCATTTTCACGGGACTTTAAGGTCTTCATGAGGACTTTAATTTTTAGTCCGCTCCCTCCATGTCGTCTTTAGGGTTAAAACTTTTGTCGATGAAAATCATTTATTAAGTTTGCTGTCGGCTGTAATTCTGTTGACTAACGTGTGAGTGTAAAAAGGTGTAGATCAATGTTCCCGTTTGCGCCCTCAGCTGAAGTTTTTTATTATATGATTGAAAGTTTCCTAAAAACTCTTGGTGACTCTTTTTTTCTTCCTCCGTCTCTTTTTTTACTTGTTTTTATTGACTTTGTCCTTTTGTTTGTCCCAGCAGATCTTTAATAAGACCTGAACGGTTGTTGTTGTTGTCTGTTCTTGTGTGACAGAGTTTTAGTCCCAGCAGCAAAGGAAGGTCGTTCCTACGATTGTTGTTTTCCAGCAGCTCCCTCCTCCTGGTGTTGCTGGCGTTGATTCACGGCGTTTTGCCCGATAGAAAACAAGATTTAACAGGAATCTCTGCTCCTGCGTTGGAATGTTTGTGGTGGGAACGTGGTTTTCCTCTTTAGGGGCATGTTGATGTGAAACAAGTGGAAATTAAAATAAAACAAGGATCTGTTACTGGACGTCCTCCCAGTTGAGTTTATAATAAAAACTAATCCGTCTTCGTCAGGTAAACATTTACGTTCCTGTGCGTGTGAGACGTTTACACCAGGAGATACAAGCCAGAGCATGAAGAAGAGGGACGGACAACAGAGACAACGTTATTTTAGTTTTGGCTGCTTGATTTTCATCCTATTTCTGTTTTTTCACGGATACTTCAGCAGTAAAATCAGGAGTTCAGCTACAAGTCTAGATCTTTAGTACAGTTTGGAGTATAAGAAAAAAGGACGCCTCATATTTTAACTCCTGATCTTAAACTAACATTGATGTGGTTCATGAGCAGCAGGTCAGTTTGTTATATCTTTGGTTTAATCTGTAGGATTAAATCTCTAATCCTCCATTATTCACAGGAAACATCGTTGACTTTGACAAAGTTTAGTTTCTGTATCAAAACATTTATTTTTGATAAGAGGGTAAAAACTTTAGATTTATCTCCTTTAGTGACAAAAGTGACTTTTGTTTCATGAACTTTTATAAAATGAAAAGTGTTTGATTTTAGAAACGTAAAGAAAGAGTTCAGAAAAGTTAAAACTCCTCATTGAGCAGAAAAAACAGACGGAATAATTCGATAAATAATCAGTCAATGAAAAAGATCTGGGGTCCGTTTCACGTAGCAGGTTTAGTGGAAACTCCGAGTTTGTTAACCCTGAAATCAGGGAAACTCTGAGTTTTCCGTTTCACAAAGGAGGGTTAGTTAAACCAGGGAGAGAGGGGTAACTCTAACCTGTTTCACAAAGAGAGGTAACTCAACCTCGCGGTCAGTTACCACAGTAACAGACTCCGTGAACCTAACCTGCTCGGGAGCAGGTTTAACTCAGTAAACCCAGAGTTTCAGGTGAGACATCGGCATTTTCTCATTTTGATCATGTTTTACATTGTCAAGTAAGTATTAAGTGGCAGTTTGATCCCTTAGAAAATGCTCTTTTCACACTCAAAACTGAATTTTACTCTCTTATTATGTTCCGTTAAATGATTAGGAATATTAAACTAACACAAAAACAGGTGGTGGTCCAGCAGCCCCACCTTTAACGGAGGCAGAGGAGCTGCCCCCCACCCCCCAGTCCGACGATCGCTGCTACGGGGTGGGGGTTGCGATCGTCGAAGGGGGGGCAGCTCCTCTGCCTCCGTTAAAGGTGGGGCTGCTGGGCCACCACCCGTTTTTCTGGCATCTGCCCTCTTTCTGTTTGCTGAGTGAAAGTCTAATATTGAGTGTAGTGTGTGTTAGTTTAATATATGTACATATACATACTGAGAGTTAGTTTAATATTCCTAATCATTTAACGGAACATCATAAGAGAGTAAAATTCATTTTTGAGTGTGAAAAGAGCATTTTTAAGGGATCAAACTGCCACGTAATACTTACTTGACAATGGAAAACATGATCAAAATGATTCAAGCAGTTTCCCTGCAACAGTCTGTCATTGTGATTGCACGAGACTAGATTTAAAGTTACGCATTGACGCGAGTGGCGATTTCCTCCCAAGCCCTCTCCCTCTCCTTTGCAGCTGCTGCTGTATTGCGCTTTCTTTTAAAAACGTGCTGTAATTCGCTGTTGGCTTGCTGCTGCCCCCTCCTTCTCCCTGTTTCCATTGGTTGATCATTGAATCTGCGCTCCACAGATGCTGGCTGTTTATGTCTGGCGTGCACGTGCTTAACTCCAGGTCAAACTACTCGGAGTTGTTAAAACCGTCTCAAATCAGGCGTTGTGAAACCGGAAACTCAGAGTTTCCTAACTCAGAGTAGATCAACTCAGAGTTAAGGATTTAACTCAGAGTTTGTTGAACCACCTACGTGAAACGGACCCCTGCTCTGTGTTTAATCAGAAACTTTAGGAGAGTCGGCTTTTCAACAGTGAGCTGAAGATGATGATGATGATGAAGAAGAGCAGGGTGGTCCCGTCCCAGTTTTTCATCATCTGACCTCAGAACCGGTCCTTTAAAGAGGTTCAGGTCCATGATTCTGGGTCCTGTTTACATGGTTTTAACAAACCGTGTTCACAGACAGCGGGCTTTATTCTTTTCTTTATTCTTTTCTTTATTCTGCGGTGATTTCCACTGTGGAGTCCTCCTGTAACGTTATCCTGAACTTCATTTATGTCCCTGAGTTCCTCACCTGGAGCAGATAAACTGGACCATGTTCGAGTTTTTCTGTCTCTGATTTTCTGACGTATTTTTGACTTGCTGCAGGAATCCGTTTAAAATCAACTTAAAATCAAACGAGTTTTAAAATTTTTTAACATGTTATATCTGAAAAAAGTTCAATTAGAAACGGGTTCTAAATGATAAAAAAAAAAACATGAATTTTATTTTTTGTTTTAGTGTCCTGACTTTTTGGGAATTGTTGTTTTTATATTTTTTAAAAAGCTTTTTATAAAAAGTGAAATAAAAACAAACCAATCCTAAAAGCTGATAATGGCGTGGCTGGAAATAAACGGACTCATAGTTTTTACCTGTTTTTATTTTATTTTGGTTTTAACAAACCTTTCCTTTTTTATTGACATGCTGTTTTTATTTTTCAGGAGTTCAGAGATTCTGATCACGTCTTCGCTTCATTTTTGACAGATGGGTTAAAAATTTTAAAGAACAAACAGAAATTTGTATAAAAAATCTAATTTTAACGCATTTATTCCTCAAGACTCGACTATTTTACAGAACTCAAATTCAACTTTTACAACTTTTACAGTTTTTACAACTTTAACAATTTTCTACAGTTTTTACAACTTTTACAATTTTTACAGTTTCTACAGTTTTCACAGTTTTTACAACTTTTACAGTTTTTACAACTTTTACAACTTTTACAGTTTTTACAGTTTTTACAACTTTTACAGTTTTTACAGTTTTCTACAGTTTTAACAGTTTCTACAGTTTTTACAACTTTTACAGTTTTTACAACTTTTACAGTTTTTACAGTTTTTACAACTTTTACAGTTTTTACAGTTTTTACAACTTTTACAGTTTTTACAACTTTAACAATTTTCTACAGTTTTTACAGTTTTTACAACTTTTACAATTTTTACAGTTTTTACAGTTTCTACAGTTTTTACAACTTTTACAGTTTTTACAACTTTTACAATTTTTACAGTTTTTCCAGTTTTTACAACTTTTACAGTTTTTACAGTTTTTACAACTTTTACAGTTTTTACAACTTTAACAATTTTCTACAGTTTTTACAACTTTTACAGTTTTTACAGTTTCTACAGTTTTTACAGTTTTTACAACTTTTACAGTTTTTACAGTTTTTACAACTTTTACAGTTTTTACAGTTTTTACAACTTTTACAGTTTTTACAGTTTTTACAACTTTTACAGTTTTTACAGTTTTTACAGTTTCTACAGTTTTTACAGTTTTTACAACTTTTACAGTTTTTACAGTTTTCACACTTGTTGGGACTGAACGTGTTTTTTTAGGACTTAACCTTTATGGGTTATTGATTTAAATGGTCAGGCGAACACTTAATTGTTGGAATGTTCCTTTAAAGATTGATTTCGTGGTGTTTCCTGATCTTTAACTTCACAGTGTGTGTGTGTGTGTGTGTGTGTGTGTGTGTGTGTGTTTGTGTGTGTGTGTGTGTGTGTGTGTGTGTGTGTGTGTGTGTTTTATTTTATGAACGTTTCAGTTAAAACTCATGTTAGCTCTCCTGTGGGTGAGGGGTTAACCAAAGACACACGGACTATCAGGTAACGGTTACCCCGGGCAACAACTACAAACATTTAAAGGGGGGAGGGGGTGGGGGGGGCAGCGTTGTCAGAGCCCCTCCCCCGTTAACCTCATGTCCTATTAGAAAAGACTGTGGGTGTAAACTCCAACTGTGAGGGTCCCTCCCTAAATCTAAGTGAAACCACACTGGGGAATGCACTTACACACGCCAACACACACTCACACAAACACAATCACTTCTACACACCCAGCCGCAGTCGTGAACGTCCAGTCAGAGCTGCTTCTTCCTGTTTTTCTCTAGTTCCGCCGTCTTCTCTCGTGCCGCGTTCACAGAGTCGGGCCGAGGAGGAAGTCCTGAAAAAAGTTTGACCAGGAAGAGTCGGAGGAGCGGAGGAGGAACCAGCAGGAGATCAGGGACAGCGAGGGTTGAGACATTTGCCCTCAGGGTTATCAGGCAGACAGGAGTATGGGGGCTGTAGGAGGAGGTGTCGTTGTTGTTGTCTTTGTCGTCGTCGTCGTTGGGGCTGAAGGGAGCGGAGAAAAAGAGGAGGACTGACACACTTCTTTAAGAGTCGACCCCGTACATAGAACCAGACTAACCAGATGAGACCTGCTGATGGATTTTAGAGGGAAACCCTACCCTGAAGCCGCTCAGACTGCTGCTGACAAATAGACGTCACACATACCTTCAGACAAAAAAACCCTCTCTCACACACACACACACACACACAGACACACACACACACACACACACACACACACACACGAGAGAGAGAGGGAACATGGAAGCACTGAGAGACGCTTTTCTGCATTTAACCTTTCAGATGTCAACGTATAAGAGAGCAACGCTGGACGAGGACGACCTGGTGGACTCAGCCGCTGATGACATCTACCCGTCTTCACCTATGCAGGTAAACATGACGACACTTTGACGACCCAAACCCCGACCTGTCCGTGTTTTTATCGGGAAAACACCGACATATGTCAGGATTTCACAAACTAAACTCTCTAAAACAGGTTTTTATTTAGATGAAGGTTTTATTATCTTTACAGTTTTATGATTCATGATCACAGATTGAACTGATCAGACACCGATAACTACTTTAAGAAGTGGTCAGCAGTCGTAGCTGAAGCTGATGTTTCCTGTTGATCTGCGCTGTGATTTAACCTTCAGTCCTTTTTTAAAGTACTCTGACTAACAGCCTGTTGAACACATGAAACTCTGTAACCCGCTTTAAAACTGAAGGCAGAGAGGGAAGAATTTCTCCAATCGAGTAAAAAACATGACAGATGAGAAATGTAAAAGAGAATAAAAGCGTTTAAAAAACAGAAGCTGTTCAAGGAGACGAAACACGAACAGGGTTAAAAGTTTAAATGAGAGAAAATCTGTAAAAACTCTGAAAAGTGTCAAAGTTTGAACGAGTTTGATCCTGCTGACGAATCTGTGAATAATTATTTTACTGTTAATGAGACACGATAAAAATCCACAAACCAACGTGTGTTTCTGTCGTTTTCAGGAGGTTATAAATCTGAATTTACTCCGATTATCATTTGAGATGAAGATGAATTTGAGTAACAGAGACCTGGAGTCTGTCAGATTACAGACTAACAGAATAAATCCTCCTAATCCATTTTACAACATCGTATGAATCACTTATTATTGTGATTGACGAGGAAATTTAAATTAAACACAAACTCTGAATAAAAATCAACGATGACATCTGAGACTCTGGGATTAGACAGATTATGAGGCAGATTATGAGGCAGATTATGAGGCAGATTATTTCAGAGCGGAAAAAAATTCACGTATGACCGAAAGAAGCTCCGAGCAGACGGTTAATTTAGAGTCTCTTTAATGATTCTCTTTTTTAAGGAGGAAATGACGATAGTTTGATGTTATTGATAAATGACGATAGTTTGATGTTATTGATAAATGACGATAGTTTGATATTATTGATAAATGACGATAGTTTGATATTATTGATAAATGACGATAGTTTGATATTATTGATAAATGACGATAGTTTGATATTATTGATAAATGACGATAGTTATCGTAAAGAAGTGAAGCTGTAAAAAATTTTCAAGAAACTTTTCGAAGATTCTGAAAATTCTCCAAAATGTTGATATAAACCGGAGGAGGAAGACGAGTGTCAGGAGGCGGGACATGACGCTGTACGCCACAGTGTGAAGTTTCTGATGTTTCTGATGTTTCTGGTGTTTCTGGTGTTTCTGATGTTTCTGATGTTTCTGGTGTTTCTGGTGTTTCTGGTGTGATGGTGGATGAGTGGATGAGTGGATGAGTGGATGAGTGGATGTATGATGGCAGGATGAATTTTCTTCTCCTGTAACTTTCACTCGGGTCTCAGGTCTGGAGAAAATCCGGTCTGTTTGCGTTGACGTGTGAAGCCCACCCTCAAATCGTCCAGTTTTGATCATGAGTGAAAAATAAGTTAAAAACTACATTTAAATTTGACTTTTCAACAAAAACGTCGTCCTGGTGATTCAGAAGGAGGTTTGAGGGCTGAGAATAAAGTTTTACTGAAGTCATAAAAACCAAAGTTGGATCTGAAGTTCGGAGGGTTTCTCAGTCCAAACCAGCGTGACGCCCGATCTCTGAGGATTATGAGGTTATTGGATTAACTGTTGAGCTTATGGCAGTAAATCTTTATTCATTTACACTTCAGGGTCATCGACTCTCACAGCGAGGTCCAGAGAGCGCCGCCGCAGGGAAACTGACCCGAGTGTTAAACGTGAGATTTGTGAGCGGCGTTTTGGATTCCCCGCCGACTTTAACCGAGAAAAAGAGCAGGAGGAGAGTTTGTTCGTTTAAGATCCATTAACTGTTAATTTGTCATTAATAAAGAGTTTAATCTCATTAAACAAAGTAAGAACTTTCCTCCTGCTGTTAAACTTCCTCTGCTCGACTTTAGAAACGTTTTATTACATTAAATTTTTTTTTCTCGTTCACATTAAAGCGTCAGAAAAGTTTCAGGATCATTTTTTCTTAACATTGTGTTTTTGTTCCTCCGGAGAGGAGAACTTCCCTTCTGAGCACATGTTAAAGTAAAGGGCGCGTGAACAATAGAAGAATGTGAGAGAGAGGGTTAAAGGCGCCGTAAATGAGAGGCCATTGTGTCTGAAACCAAATATCTGAGCAGACGCTTCAACACGTTAGAAAAGGTTAAAAACCGTCTGTTACTGACGCTGAACCTCCTCACAGAAACACTCAGAGGTTTGTGGGTCTGTGTGTGTCTGCAGGTGACTCTTCTGCACGGCCGCGGTCCCTCATGTTGGCCCGACAGAACCCAGAGAGAGAAGAAGCTGATGGTCCTTCTGGGTCTGCTGTCTGTGGGTCTCTTCATATCCCTCATCATGACCGGCGTCTTCTACAAACAGGGTGAGTTCTGACCTGCGCTCCCTCCTCATGGGGCGCTCCGACACACCCGGGCTTCGACCCGCAGACCGAAATATCACTCCTGTGTTTGTAGAGAAAATGAAGCAAAGGTAAGAAAACGGTCCTTCAGCAGATGAACAGACTTCATGAGAAACACGTCTCTGTTCAGAGGGACGGACTGGAGGGCGGCGGTTCTAGCTCTGCTCGCCGTAAAGTCAGAGTCCTGAACCGTCCGAATGAAAACAGAGCAGAGTGACTTTTGTACAGAGAAGAAACGGCCGACAGAGCCGAGGCTGTAACCTCTGAACGTCTTTATTTATCTTTCTGTGCCGTTTCATACAGTCAAGGTGGTTTATTTTCTCTTCAAACAAAGAGACGATCTTCAGCCAAGCGTCCTAAAAACAACCTCTAATCTGTCCCCTGAGCGTCTTCATGAAGGAAAGAGGGTTCATGGATTCAGCGGCGTCTCCTCCATGCTGGTTTCCTCACAATTTACCCGGGGAAACTTAATGCCACTTCCTGCCATTCAAAGCCGCATGTCAGATCACACTTGGAAATAATAAAAGGAACAAGAAGGAATCCTCCGAGGACTCCTCTCCTCCTCCTCCTCCTCCTCATCAGTCTCTCCTCCTCCTCCGTCTCTGTTCCTCAGAAGGCCGATGGTCCAAGTCTTTACAGTAAGTCCAGTTTCAGAGCTGAGCTGGACTTCGTTTCCTCTTAATCACTTCCTCTCCAAACACTTTCTTTGATTTTCCTCTGACCTGCTTTTGTGTTCGGACTTTATAAGCAGCCAAATGTTTCTTGGCGTCCGTCCT